TACTGCAGAAGCCTGATAATCATCCATTCATTCAAATCAGGTGTGTTTGAGCAGAGAAAAAAGTAAAACATGCAGGGTTGCGGCCTTCGAAGACCAGGATTACCCACCCGATTTAGGCTGAGCAAAACTAAAAAAAGAAGATGTGTTAGTTGTATGACAAAATGGGTAAAATAATGTGTATTATACTAAGTTTCTTAAATATAAAGACGTTTTCTTTGACTTTTTGTAAGTGTGTAGGTTATGCATGTCACAGGCAATTTAAACATGGCTTCAAGGAGGAGGGTTGTTTTAAAAACGCTATGATAAATACAACACAGTTAATTCGATCTGTCCTCCATACCGCACAAAGGATGAGTGCAAATAAACAGCAAGCCCACCCCACGGAACAGCCTGAACTCAGGGTCACAACAAATAAATCTAACCTCTCCTGTCAGACTCTAAAACCTGATTGTGTGAGAGGAGAGTGGAACTGAAGCGAACGGAGGTGATGATTGAGGGGCGTCAGGCTCGAGGGGAGGCCGGCCCCGGGGGTCTAGGAGAGTCCCGAGGGGTGGGGCTGTCTGTCTCTGAGGCGCTGGACTCGTCGTCGGTGTGCTCGGAGCTGTGGTACAGCATGAAGGCCTGGGTCTTGTGGGTGATGGTGATGGTACAGGGTCCCTGAGCCCACGGCTCCCCATCCACCTGCATGGGCATCTTGGAGCTCTTCAGAACCAGCTGGAGACGCAAAAGGAAACAGAAAAACAGGAAACAGATTCCATTAAAGATTCGTTTTTTTTTGTTTTGTTTTTTGGTGAATATTGACAAGTTTGTGAGATCAGGAAATGAGCACGGTGACATTAATCAGATTTATTTAAATTAGATTCAGACAAACAGCTCCTTCCAAACTGACCTAATGAGACAACAGGAAGTTGTGTGGCTGGACCGTGTGCGTGTGTGTGTGTGTGTGTGTGCCTCACCCTGACAGTGTGCGCCTGGCCCAGCCTCACAGGGTTGGCCAGTTTGACCTGGATCTGAGCGCAGTGGAAGGAGCCGAACACCCCCACCACCTCCAGCAGCCCATCGTCCAGTCTGCGGGGCGAGACAAACAAAACGTAAACAAAACCAAACAAAAGTCTGTGTTTACACAAGAACCGGAGCTAATGCTGCGTTCCAGTTGTCCACGGAGGTCGTAGCTTCGAGCCTCCGAGTTCTATTTTTCAACTGGAACGCCCCCTGAAGTCGTAATTTCAAGTCGGGAGGTCAGCGCATCCAAACCATACCTGAGCAGCCTGAGCATGCGTTACGTCATCATTTCAACATGGATGCTGCGCGCATGTTTCTCTAAGCTAACGGCTAATGTTGAGCTGTAATCAAACGTACACAAGCACCATCCYATTATTTAACAGACAGRAAGTAAGAAGAGAGGCAGAATAAAAACGAGTGTAATTTGTTTGTTTATTTTCCCTTTTTAAATTTGTTTAATTTATGTAGCGTACTAGCATGCTTGTCCGAGCTAACCGCTAACGTTGCTACTCTTGCATGTAAACAAACGCGGCTTCTGTGTTGTTTATTTTACATTACGTCAGACGTACTTGTAGTGCTTTATAGGGATGGTTAAAATATATGTTTTAACACTGTTTGTACACTCAAAATACCTCGTAGAGCACTATTATTGTGTTTTATTGTTGCAGAGCAAAATAATAGAAACGCTTTTTCCGATGTTTGAAACTGGAAYGCTATCAGCTCGGAAATGACGTCAGTCCGGCTTCAGAAATTCGAGTTCCGATACAACTGGAACGCAGCATAACAGCCTGAGCAGGCCTCACCGTGTTGGGGGGCAGGGTTCRTCCCCCATCCCCTCCCAGAGTCTGCAGCCGCCCCCCCAGTATCCGATGTTACAAACGATGATGCCTTCCAGACTGGGCAGCTCCACCCGCTCCCCGTCCAGCTCCAGCTGTTGGCAGAACAAACAAACCCTTTCCCATCAAGCTCCCGACTGAAACGATGGAATAAAAACAGGAAATAAATAAATCATCTTTACCTCGATCCTTTTATCCAGGTCTTTACACTCCTGCACCAAACAGTCTTTGGTTCCATACAGGAAGTAGACGGCCTGAGAGGACGACCACAGAACGCTGGTATCAGACACACTCACATTTCAGCAGCGTTTCCTAATTCCAACAAACAACTCAGACCTTGTTGATGATGCGGCTGGAGAAGAAGGACGGCGTTTTCTCGCGGTGCGTGTGGAAGCTGAGGGCCATGAGGGCGTCGGGTCCCACGGAGAAGTAGTTGTTCATGGTCAGAACCTTCAGGAGGGTCGGGGTCAGGTCGGTGGGCACGCAAAGATTAAAACTGAAGACCAGAAACTGGACTCACCTTCGGTTTACGGAAATAGGAGCCCTTTGAAGCCACCTGCACCTTCCACCTGAGAATCAGTTTGTGCAGAAAGGAATTGTGAGCCATCACATCGAAACGACGATCAAGTACAAAAGTAGGATGTGGAGAAACAGGAAGATATAGGGTTCTGATTTAAATGTGTGCAAAAATTGCATTTTGTCAAAATATGAATTAATTTAGCAACGTATCATTTGAATGAAGTGTCTGAAATATAATCCTAAAATATATTTTGAAGCATTTTTTGAGCAGTAGCCACAAAAAACCTGATTTTTAGGAAAAACGCCTTAAAGGGCACCTGTTATGCAAAACTCACTTTTTTCATGTTTTTAAACTTACTTTTGGGTCTCTACTGCTTAGAGAAGCAGTCCAAACACACACACACACACACACACACACACACACAAAATGCACCCAGCCGCTTTTTAGCTGTAATGTACTTTTAGGTATCTGGAAACATGGTCTTTCTCAAAGCATGTTATTCTGACGTCACAATAACAGTCACCTAGCAACCTAAACCAGAGTCCAGCTCCTCACGAGGCAACCCGAGATGAAGCTCCAYCCACTTCCTCAAAAGACGACACGGAGAACAGAGATGCCTGGGTTCATTTTATTTTTAYCTTTGATGACAATGTTCTAACAATATTGCCAAAGAAAGCTGTAGTTTGTGAAAATAATTTCACTTTGGAAACTTCTACCATGTCGGGGGGCGGAGCTAATGTAAACGGATGTGATAGTAACTTCTGCATCCAGCACGTTCTGGAGAGAGCTGAAGAAGAGGCAGAACTGAAAAGGTGAAATTTCATTATTTGAGATTCTTTTTGTGAATTAAATTAAATGAACATGTTTTGAATAGCCCACAGATGGATCCTAACTTGTGCTAAGACCCCCATAATAGGCCGCCTTTAAAATTTAGAATTTTTCCCTGTGAGCTAGAAATGTTTTGCTTTGAGCTGGGAAACCTAATATACAAATTAGTGCTGGGCGGTATMCCGTTTTGTACCGAAAACTGTTTTTTAATTTTGTTATATGAATTTTCTGAACATATGCAGAGCGTTTCGTCGCGGCSGCCAGTGAACTGTTTTACTGRGGACATGTTTCCTTGCAGCACCGCTAAGCGCATTAGCATGCTAACGTTATTGTTGGAACTGGCGGCGGTTGGTGTGTTTCAGCTGCTTATATGGTCTGACGTTAAAGAAAAATCATCCCGTTTTCACCATCGCTGAATAGTAAACAACTCTTCAGTGATGTGCACAGTTAGATTTAACGCACTACGTTATAATGGAGACGTTATTGCATGGAGACTCTAGCGTGCTTCTATTGTGAAAAGCCCGGGGGGAAGTAGTCTTGTAGTGTAGCGGAGTTGACTGGTGTGCGAGGTGAGTCGTCTTTTTAAGTTTTATTAACACGTAACGATAGACCAGATAATGATTTTTTCTCAACCCTTTACGATCGGACCTAAATGCATGATTACTGTCTACAACCAGGCAAAGATGAAAAGACGTACACAAGGAGGGAAAGAGTGATACAGACGTACAGTCAAAGAAAAAAGTCAATAAGCAAAGTTTGTACATTTTATTACCAGCTGAGCTGTGAGGAAAAAAAATACCGTCAAATACCGTGAAACCRGTGTAAATGTTGAAAATACCCTGATATAAAATTTGGGTCATCCCGCCCAGCACTAATACAAATACCCGTTGAGGTTTCCTCTTTATATTATCAGAAATTACTCAATAAATTTACATAAAAGTAGGATTCAGACCAAACAGTAATGTATTATCGTAACCAACAAGACAAATTAAGTTATAACTCTGGATAAACTGATGATATCAGAATGATCCAGGTAATAAAAWGTAGCTTTTAAAGCAGGAATCTGAAAATGTAATTTGGTCATTTTGACCAAATTTGACTTAATCCTCATTTCGATATGATGGGTCACAATWGTCAACACAAAACAGAACCTTTATCAGAAGGCCCAGACACGCCCCACCTGTCCATGCGGACCACTTCAGCATCCAGGATGTTCCGGAGGACCTGCTCCACAGGGATCTCCCCGGCGTACCCAGATCCCCAGCCCAGAGTGTTGGACAGGTCGTTTCCCGTCCCCAGAGGCAGGATGGTCACTCTGGGGATGAACTGGTCCTGACCCTGAGGAACAGAACATGCAGAGCTGGAGAGGATTTGACAGAACAGCAGAGCAAGCGATATCCTCCTCTCATCACCTTTAGCTTCATGGCATCTACAGCGTCCAGAACCCAGCCCACGGTGCCGTCTCCTCCGCACACCAGCACCCGCACGCTGCCGGSGGGCAGGAGGGTGCACAGCTGGAGGGCTTTGGCCGGAGCCAGCTGAGACAGGTCGAACACCTGGAGAGGACAGACCGCCTCCGATCAGAACTCAGGGACTAATCTGAACAGAGAGGAGACGTTCGGACTCTGACCTGCACCGGGTTGAGGAGGGTACGGAACTCCCCCAGCAGAGCCTGGCCCATGTTGTTCCCGCTGCGCGTRTTAGCCAGCACCAGCACCGGAGTCCAGCCGCCACCGCCGCCGCAGAACGCCCCCAGCTGCAGGGGCGACAAGAACACACACTCAACATCTTCTCCCTGCGGAGGTGGGCTCGGGAAGCTCTCGTCACCTTGGCGAACTCGTCCGGGTGCCGGCGGCGCAGCTTGTTGACGCGGTGCAGGTAGTGAGGCGGGATGATGAGGCTGCGGAACTCGCCCAGATCACACACGTCTGCATCCRCCAGGCTGTCCATGCAGTCGTCGTGCACCGTGGTCTGACACCACACACACCTGAGGGACAAACAGAAACCAAGATGAAGCTGAAACTGAGTTGKTGAAGCTAAAAGAAGCTGAACATTAGCTGACGAAAAGCTAAAAAGGAGCAMAATGCAAGCCGATGTCAAGAGGAATTCCTGACTTCAGGATGCAAAACAAGCCCAGATCATCAACCCTCCACCACCGTGCCAAYATGTCCATTTCAGTTTTCTAATAAGTTGCTGTGCATTCTGGGTAAACACYTGTGGTTCCTTCATATGAAAGTTGCAAACCTGAATATTGCTGCTATGTTAGAGAACTTTAATGTTTTGGGAATGACCTTTAACCTTTCCCAATTTAACGGCTTCTCTAAGGTCACTGCTGATGTCTTTCTGACTTGGCGTTGTGTTAAAGACTGTGTAAAGTAAAAATAAATGTGTGTTCTGAGGTTGTCACACCACAGAATGTGTTAAAAAATCACCCAGCCAAGTCTGAATAATTAAAAATACTGTTAACCTTATAAAATTATGTGTTAAAATTAATGAAAAAATATCAGTTAGCGGTGGTCTGGAATGCTGGGGGCGTGTCCTCTGAAGGAGCTCAAACCACGCCCACGACCCTGAACATTCCCAAGTAGGGGTCTCTGGATGAGTGTGGACGAGTGGGCGTGTCCCAACGAAAGGCGATTCTAAAGTGATACACTTGATTTGACAGACTTTTTTAAAAAGGGACACACCTGACTGGACAAGCAAAAAATGGACGTCACCGTACGGCACCACCTGATTGGACAAGAACAAAAGGGGCATTACTGGAGAACCGTACTTGGGTCACATTTCTCCTGGTTAACCTTAGTGTTGGGGTCAGGGTCAGGCTGTAAAGAGGTCAAGCAGGGTCTAAGGATACCATCATGTAGGCCTCGTAGCCCACAGTGTTTATGCTTTAGACACGCCCACCTCTTGTGACAGCCCACTTTGATTCCTCAGATAACCCTTTCTCAACATACCCATAACAGAGGAAACAATGTTTGTTTTCTTTAAAATTAGAGCAACAGGGGGCGGGGTTTATACTTAAGGCAGCTGCCCTTTAAGACACGCCCAAAAAATCCTGAAACGCAGATATCTTGTTACACAACTTGAAYCATATCTCCACTATTCAAATACCTACAGTTGAGAGAATTTGTACTCATTTACAACAATCCATTTATGACATTTATAATGTTTAAAAAAGAAAATGTTACATTTTACTTTACACGGTCTTTAACGCAGCTGACAGCTGAAACATGTTCCTGTTTAGGTCCAGGACCAGATCAAACCTCTCTCTGCACCATGAACTGTACCTGAAGTCGCAGAGTTTGGGCTGGGTCCCACACTGCTGTTTGCACACAGCGCAGTAGCTGGCCAGCGGGACRTTCCCTCGGACCCAGCGGTGCTCCGCGGGCCCATCCTCGGCCCGTGCCGGGGCCATGATCTCCTTGCACGGCAGGCTCCGGTCGGCCCTCCGGAGGCACTGCTCGTCGGCGCAGACGCCGCAGCAGTCGCAGAAAGCCCCGTGCAGGATGTGCTGCGAGCAGACGCAGCAGTAGGTGGGCTTGTTGAACAGGTCCGTGTAATGCCAGCCGTGTTTGCTCTTCCGAAAGAACTCCCTCATGTGGGTCTTCCGCTTGTGGCGCTGCGCGCTGCACCACAGCGTGATGAAGACCGGGACGATGACGGCCAGAGAGGTCCAGAACAGCAGCGTCCACTCCTCCCGGGAGCCGCAGTCCTCCCGCGCCTCGTCTCCTTCACACATCGCAGCTGCAGCGGTTAGCGGAGCGACGTTTCTTACGGACCGGAAACGAGAAAAGCGAGGCGAAACGTGAAACAAGCAGACTGARCAGGAGGCTCGGTGCTTTCCCCTGCAAAACTCATGTTTACACACACCGACAAGACCGTGCCACTTAAATTTGGGACGGAAAAGTGTCAAAATACAAAATACAACGACRTCATGTTTAAACCGGAAGCTATCGCGGAAGTAGCCTTTGCAGAGAGTATTTACACACAAGATAGTTCACCCCCACTTCGGGAAAGAATACGTSTGTGAGCTAACGCTGGTTAGAAAAATACTTGTTATTTCTCAATAGTCAAAAGTCAAGTTGGRACGATTTATTTACGTTATATTTGGGTGTTAGTTTGTGAAACGATCTTGATAGTGATATAAAACAGTCAAAATATTTTTTGTTTTATAAAAACTTGAAAATAATTATGATGAAGCGTTATAATATTGTCTAAAGTATTGTTTTGTTGTAATTTTGTGTGTTGAATTACTTTTTCCATATGCTGACGGTGAACTTTTGAGTTGGTAGTTGATTTTATTTTGCGAGTAGGGGCAGATATTATAAGTTTATACTTCTTTCTGCTCCTTTTCATTCATGACTTCTTTCTAACTTAGTTTTGCTTTCATTGACTTCAAAAACATCAGCACTGTAAAAGACAAGCAGAAAACTCTGATGGTGTCTGATCAAGAACTAACTAACTTTCTCTGTTTGACAAGCTTCCAGGTTTCTAATGGGTTCCTATACACAGAACTTTAAACAGACTGAATCACAGGACTACGGGTTTCTCTTGTATCCCCCCAGCAGACAGAGTGATCATGTAAACATGTCTGTCAGGCACCAACAAGTGATTTCTTTAGAACAGATGGAGTGAAGC